ATTCAGGAGGCTGAGGCAGGAGGATCACTACAAGTTTGAGGCCAGCCTGGGCTACATAGTGAGATCCTGTCTCAAAAAACAAAAGGAGGTCATATGAAGAGAAAAAGGGAGCCTGGAGAAAGAGGGGTCAAGGAGGCCAAGGCCATCTGTCCCTCGAGCCACTCCAGCTATTGCCCTTGGCCTGCTCAGGTTCCCAGGATGGGTGTTATGGTCACCGCTCTGCCAACTCCTATTCACTCTGCAAAACCTAGTGCAACTGTTACTTCGGGGCTGGCAATTTAGCTCAGCGGCATAAGCACCTGCCTTGCAAGCAGGCAGTCATGAGTTCGATTCCCGGTACCGATAAAAAGAAAAAAAAAGTGTAAAACTGTTACTTCCTGTGCAGGGAATGGCCTGACATAAACCCTGCTGTTTTGTCCGTGTTCCCAGGGAGGGAGGAGAGGTTTGGGGAACGCGGCTGAGAGCCCCTCAAGTGGACAGATGGGAACACTCAGCTCATCCTGGATGCTGGAAGTTTGGGGCGGAGCAGGCCTCTGTGAGCTGAAGGTCACTGGACACCGCCAGGGAACATGGGTTTGAGGCTAGAGGAGGGCAAGTTCTAGGAGAGAACTGGAGATTGAGTGGCCTTCCTGCCTGCCCAGAAGTGACCACAAACCCCTCTCTGGTCCCCAGGCCACTAAGGCAGGAGGGGGAAGGAAGTCATGCATTGACACAGGTGACCCAGGAGCCCCAGCCCAGGGAACACTGAGTCTTAGGCTTGAAGAGCCGCTTGGGGCCTGGACACAGCCCACAGCTGAGGACAGAGAATCTCAGTGCCTGGCAGGGAGGAGGAACAGGAGCATTTGGATTATTAGATGGATGGACGGACAGACGGACGAATGGATGGATAGATGGGTGGGTTGGTGGATGGATGGGCAGAAGGAAGGATGGGTGGGTAAATGGATGGAAAGATGGGTGGATGGATGGAAGGATGGGTAGGGATAGGTGGATGGATGAGTGAATTCCTGACCCCAGGCCCCAAGCAGGAGGTACCCCAAAATCTAGGCGCCTGATCGCTGCCATCAGTGTGGTTTCTGGGACAAAGGGGTCATCGTGGTGGGTTGCTAAAGTCAGGGCTCCGGACTCAGACGTTTCTGGGCTCCAGCTCTTTCCCTCACTAGCTGGACCAGATGACTCAGTTTCCCCACTGCAAGCAATGTCAACAGATGGCAGCAGCTGCTGCCCAGTGCGTTGGACAGGCCCTGGGGGAGGGGACCATGTGGCCCGCCGTCTGCCAGGCTACAAACGGCCCAGGAGAGTGCACAGTCAAACTGCGTAAACCGCTCGGTCGCGGGGACGTCTCAGCCCATCTCCAGGCCTCAGTTTCCCCTATCTGGTCAGTCAGGCCCTGCTGGCCCAGATGGCCTTGTCGCATCTCCCTGCCCAGGGCAGACATGTGTGCATGCACACACGGGCACGAGCAGTGTGGACGCCCCCGCCTACCGGGCACAGCCCCACACTCCGCCCCACGCCACGTCCTCCAGGACCCAGCCTGGGCCTGGCCCTGGCCCAGGGGAGCAGCGGGCAGTGCTGACCCTCTACGCCCCGACCCTATACCCCTGTACATCCCTGCCCCTCCACCACACACTGGCACCCCCAAATCTGCTGAGTGCTCACTGCTGGCGCGGGTAGGCGGGGGTGGGAGCTAGAGGGAAAAAGCCAACGACTCAGCCGTGAAGAGGGGTGCGGGAGGGGGTGCAGGCAAGGGAAATGACAGCCCGCGGTCCCCCTGAGTCCCGGCTCATGAATATTAATGCGGCGGTAATTAAAATGCAGGGGCGCAGCGGGATGGATGCAGCAGCCTCCGGAGCGCGGGGAGCGAGCGCGGGGGCAGTAGCGCGCGCGGGGGGGGGGGGTGCCCTCTTCCCGGTCCTTCCGAGCCCAGCCCCGCCCCCCTGCTCTCGGCCCCGCCCCCGGTGACGTCACCCGGCTGAACTTTCCACTTCCCGCCCGCGGTCTCGGGGCGCTGAGTCACCGCCGCCCCCGGCTCGGCCCTGGCCGGGCGGCGCCTGTCTGCGCAGCGCGAGGCCTCCGGTGCCCCGTCCGCCCCTCAGCAGATGCTCAGCAAAGCTGCAGACTCACAGGGTGCATGGCTCAGCCGGGCAAACGTAGGACGAACGGGCCACCCGGGCTCGCAGGGCAGCCATGGAGCCGGATTTCTGCGCCTGGAGTGACTGTTCTGGCGGGGTGTCACCTAGTAGACCCCCAGGACGGCGCCAGGAGCTGTGCCCCCTCAACAGGGCGTGGTGGCCCACGCCTCCTATCCCGATACTTGTTAGACTGAGATAGGATTGCAAGTGCGAGTCCAGCCTGGGCTGTCTCCCAAGATCCTGTCTCCAAAGGCCTGAGAATGGGGCTCAGTGTGAAGGTTCCAGGTTCAAACCCCAGCTCTCTGGGTTCTGTCCCACAAGGGGACAGGGACTGGGGGAGAAGGGCGCACAGGGAGGGCCTTGCCAGGTCTGGAGGCGGGCTCCTACCTCATTTGTAATCCCAAGCAAAGCAGAGCTCAGCGCCTCAGCAGGGAACAGCAAAGTCCCTTTTGCAGAGCACACTAGGCCTGCTGTGGGGGGCAACAGGGCCGTTGCTGGACTCTCCCCACCTGGGTTCAAGCACAAGACGCCCCCACATCCCCACATCGTCCTCCTGGCTCCCTGCAGCCAGTGGCGCTGGGAAATTTTATGAGCAGTTCGGTCTTCTTTTGTTTGTTTGTGCTTTGTTGAGACAGTCTTGCTGTGGACTGTGGTCCAGGCTGGCCTTGAACTCACTGTGTTACCCAGGCTGACCTCAAACTCAGGGCCATCCTCCTGCCTTGGCCTCCCAAGTGCTGACCCTGTAGTTTTTGATGTCTTTCTGGGCACTTTGATCCAAAACCGCCCCCCTTCCCGCACCTGGGACAACAAGGGACAACAACGATGCATACACTGTGCCCTGCCACCCCCAAATCCGTCACCTAGAGTGCAAAACCTCGGTACTGGATTTTGACATAGAATCTTGAACCCAGTTTACCGATGGAAACCAAGACCATTTCGGCTGCTCTTGGGGCTGAGCAGGGATGAGGATCCTGACCTCCACCCAGCCTCATGCACGTGCCATGTGCCGCAAACTCAAACTCGCATGACAGGGACACATAGGCCATGCATGCACATTGGAGGAGGGTGTGGCTGCCCCCTCTGACCCCTACGTTGTGCCTGTACCTTGGCCTGGACCTCTAGGAAAAGCAGGGATCCTTCCCCACTCAGATCACCCTCCCAAGCCTCTTCAAACCCAGCCCCTTCCGTGTTTGGCTGGGCACCATCCGCCATTCCTCTGGAGCTTCCCTGGCCCAGGACTCTCTAGGGCTTGATTGATCCCACTCCTACCCCAGCTCAGGCAGAGCCAGTGTCTGGAGGTCACTTCCTTCAGGGACCTCAACCTTTTCATCTGTAAAATGGGCAAACTGCCATGGCCCTCACAGGAACTCGGAGATGCGCCAGTAGAAGAAATATGTGGCCAGTGGGACCCTGTGGGACTGGGGCTGCCAAGAGTTGGGTTCTGGGGTGCCATCCCTGCCCTAGGTGAGTGCTCCAGCCCCACTGGTCCGGGTCCCCTTAACACCCTTCCTGTGAGCCTGTGGGAGGTGCCTCCTGCCAGCCCCAGGAGAGGGGCAGGACTTAGGAGGAGCTGTGGGAGTCCAGCACAGTGCTCTTTATGGTTTGTTTTGTGGTACTGGAGACTAAACCCAGGACCCCAGCCCTTTGTAACTGGGATCATCCTGCCTCAGCCTCCCAGAGTGCTGATACGTACACTGCACACCCATCTAAATCCTCTCATGGGTCCCTCCTCCAGCTGGAAAAGTGAACACCCTTCCCTGACCCAGGTGCCAGAGGGGTGAAGGAAGAAATTCAGGCTCCTCTTCCCTGCTATGTGGCCTCAGACAAGTTGCCGTGCCTTTTTGAGCCACCATGTCCTATCCTCCTCTGGAAAATGTTCCCAGTCCCACAAGACTGGGACCAAGGACTCCCTATGTGTGTGTGTAGCCTTGGCAGGGGCAACACCAGCTTAACTGCCCCAATATTGCAATCACACCACCTACAAGACCAGGCCTCGGGAGGCATGGCAGATGGGGAAACTGAGGCTGGAGTGGGAGTGGAGATCCCATGCCCCAGGCCACAGAGCTCCTCCACTCCAGGCATGCACACCTGTCATACCAGCATTCTGGGAGGCTGAGGCAGGAAGATCTCCAGTATGAGCCCTTCCTGGGCAGCTTAGCAAGACCCTGTCTCAAAACAAAAACTAAACAATGGCTGTGGGCATTGCTCAGTACGAAGGCCCCAGGTTCAGTTCTCAGTACAGCAAAAGAGAGAAAGGAATTGGTGTGAGGAATAAGTGAGTTCACATGTGTAACACACTTAACAGTAAGGCCTGGCGCAGGGTTAGGAATGTGACAGGTACTAGCTGCCAGTCTGTCTCCTGGTTTCTGGTCCAGCACAGATGTAATCCCCAGCAGCATCAGGGACCCTTTGGGGACACCTCCCTGTGGACACCTCAGAGATGGAGTGGTGGCTGACTGCCCACACCTGTCGGGGCATTCAGAACCAGGCCCACTTGGGACAGCACAGCTGATCAGCTTGTTACCATGTGGTTTCTGCCGGCCTGGACGTCAGCAAGATCCTTGGGGAGGCGACCTGTAAGCTGAGGTTGGTGAGATGAACAGGACGCACTGCGGCTCCAGGCAGAGGGAGAACCGATGCAGGCAGAAAGAACAGTGCTGTCCGAGCTGATGCAGAGACAAGGTGCAGCCACTAAGCCAGGCTGTGCAGAGAAAGCCGTGGGGGCTGGGGATGACACACACACACACATGCACAGGGGTCTAGAGCCAGGCCCTCCAGAGAAGGGAGGAAGTGGCTGGGCGGTGCTCTGGAAAGATCTATCTGGCTGACATAGGGCAGAGTGGGCAGGGAGTGAGGCTGGGATTCCAGAGGGGAAAGGAGAGGAACAGGCAGGGAATGGGACCTGGTCCACCCAAGGTTGCCATTTGGCTGGGGATCAGAAGGAGCTTGGGAGCTGGCCAGAGTGAGTTCTGTGGCTGGACACTCAGGAGCAACATCAGGAAGACCCTCTGTCCAGTGGGTCATTGCAGGGACTCAGTGGGAGGAGCTGCAGATTGGAATTCCATGGAGACACAGGTTGGCCGCAACCCTGGGACCCTGGAGCTCTCAGCCCTACCTGGCCTGTGCTCCTGAGGCTCATCTGAGCTGCCCCTGTGGGGACACCACAACCCTTAGGGTAGCAGCTATGGAGTGTCTGCACCTGGGGGCACATAGCCCTGCCTGGGAGTGGAGAGAAGAGGGGCTGGCTGGGCACTGGGAGCCGGTTGGCTGTCCCCACCAGCAGTGCGTTGCTGCTGGGGTACGCTCCTAAAAGGAGGCTGAGACCTTAAAGTACAAACCCACCCCTCCAGGCCTAGGTGTCCTTACGGTGATGGTGTATTTGTCTAAAAAGGAGGACAGCGCACATTTTCTTTAGCAGTTTGTTAGCTGGATTTATAACCTGAGAATAATGTGGCCCGAACTGTACACCTGCTCAGCACTGACCGTCTATCCTGCCCAGACATGAGTGGCCATCTCGGGCAGCTGACCCCTAGCCAGCGTGTATCGGCGTGCATCACCGGAGATCCCATGGCTTCCTTCGCAGCTTCCCAGTCCCACTTCTGCACCCCCAGGCCTCCGGTGGCCCCCCGCCTTTGTCCCAGGGTCCTGTGCCATCCCCTGCATGTTCGATTGCAGCCTCCCTGGAGGCCATGGCTGGCTCTCAGCTTGTCATTGGTTTTATGTGTTCACTGCGGCCTGTGTCCTAATCCGGCCAGCCGGACAACGATCCTGTCCCTGCAATGGGAAGCAACCCTCCCCGTAGGAGCTGTGGCCTTGCCTGGAGTCACATTGCCAGCTCTGGACTCGCTCGCTGTGCGACCTTGGGACGCAGCTTTGCTGCTCTGAGCTGTTTTTCTCTCCGGAAATCTCATAATAATAACGGCACCTCTTGCAGCGCAGAGGCAGAATGTGGAACGCGGAGCCCACGTGTGCCCGAAGCTTGGCAGGCGAGCCGAGCATTGGGGAGGGCGCGAGTGACAGCATTCGCTGCTGTTTACAGATGAGCAAACGCCAAGCTCAGCGAGGGGGCGCGGTTGCCCAAGGTCACACAGCTAGGAGAAGCAGGGAGGTCCACGCCGGGTCGATGAGACTTGAGCGCTAACCGGTGGATGCTCCGATCGCCAAGTTGCTACCCCCAGAACCTCGTCTAGCCCAGAGGGGCCTCGGGTGCCCGCAGCCACGTGGAGGCAGCAGAGACTGCAGAACTCGAGCGGCGTGGAATGGGTTAACGTGCCCGCTGCATTGGGCCGGCCTCCGCAAGAAGCAGCCAATGGACGCCGGGGGCTACGAGGTAAGCAGCCAATGGCCGTGCGCGGCGATGAGGTAATGTCCGGGCGCGCCGAGTGGGCGGGGCCGCTAGGGCGGCCGGTGGAGTTCAGCCTTCCTCCCCGCCGGAGCTCACCTTTGACCTTGGCGCTCCCGGTTTCGTCCCCATCTAGTCCAGGCCAGACTCCACCCTGGACCGAGGCCGCCCCCCGTAACTGTGGTGCAAGCCCCGAAACGTCCTGGCCTGAGTCACACCCTCCGGGCCTCAATTTCCCTTCCTCCCGCAATGGTGCCCGCGCCGAGGACCCGGAGTCCCCCAGGACAAGTGGACCCCACTTGTCCCTCGGCTGTCCGCACAGCCCCTCTCCCATGCCTTCGCTGCCACCGCCCCACGAGTTAGCCTGGGAGGTCGGAGGTCAGAGTACGCCCCGCTCGCCGCAGCCCTGGGATCGCCGGGCACGAAGCGGTTAAGGTTCCGCCAGGGCTGATTACTCAGCGCAAGGAGGAGGAGGGGGTGCCTGCTATTCTCAGGGGCGCCCGGGCGCGGGAGGGCTGCTCGGCGGGAGCTGCTGCTTCCCAGAAAGTTGATTATTTTTAACCCAGGAAGAAGAAAGGAAGGAGGCGAGGGAGAAGGCTCAGAGAAAGGAGAAGAGCGGAGAGGAGGGGTGGGGACAGGTCGGGAAAAGGGGGTGGGGAGGGACAGTAGGGGACAGAGGCAGCTCCGACCCAGCTGCGGGGGGTCTGGGCAGTGGTGTGAGGTGAGGGCACCTCCACCTTCTGCCCATCTTCTGCGCGCCACCTTTGCCCCACCTGAGAGCAGGCTGGGCCAGACCTGAGCAGGGGTTGGGGAGCACCAGGGAACCCCCACCCCATCCTGGGTGCCCCCATCAAATGTCCTTGTCCTTGTCCTTGGGACACAGGAGCCTTGGGGAAGGGGACGGGAGGGCGGCTTGTGGTCTCAGGTGGGGAGTCCCTGGCACAGTGGGCCTCTGTGTGGGGCTGGCTGAAAGCAGACTCCAGAGGATGACTGAGAGGGTGCTGGGGCCCCAGTCACAGAGGAGGGGGTCACAGGAGCGGACAAGGGGCTTACAGCATGCAGGCTGCATGAATGACTGCATGGGGGGAAGTGGGGTTGGGAGGATCCAGGGGCCCGACCTCTGCAGGGTCTCAGGAGTCTCCCCAAGGGTCCCCGGGGACCACAGTGGTTCAGTAGGTGACTGGCAGGGGCGGAGAGGGACCCAGGGGTCAGTGTGGCCAGCATCTTGGAAGAGGTTTGTAGGGGGATGGTAGCCAGGGACAAGGAGGACCCAGGGGACAGCCAGAGCGCAGAGCCAGAAGGGCAGAGGACTTAGTAACTGGTGTGGAGGTGAGGGAGGCTGCTGGGGCTCGGGGCTCACCTGGGTTCCAGCTTGTGCTATGACAGAGGCTGACACTGTCCCTGGGGTGGGGGCAGAGGACAGGGAGAGGGGCAGGTGCCCAGGATTAGCTGGAGGATCCAGTGGGCGCTGGCAGGGCCTGCTAGGCACAGGGACAGCCAGGGCACGGGAGCTGGCAGGGATCCTGGAACACACAGGCAGGCCGAGCAGAGGGCCTGCCACAGGGCTGAGGCCAGGGAGACCACCAGAGCCCGTTCACGTGAGATGGACAAGAGGGGACCCAGGCCACCCACCAGTGCCAGGGTTGTGGCCCTCACTGGAGGGCAGAGTTTCCCCATGTCTGGGTCACCAGCCCGCAGCTCCTCCAGGGCACGGTGTCTTTCCAGGCCTGATTCTGGAAGGAGGCTGGCACTGTGGCCTGTCCCCTCCCTGTCATCAGCTGGGGACAGTCTCTGTGCTCACCAGGACCCAGGGTAGTTGTCAACACAGCCACAAGCGGACCCAAAACCCCAGGAGCTCCAAAAGCACAGGTGTGGAGAGGAGAAAGGGCTGGGACTGCGTGCCTCAGTTTCTCCACCTTGGGTCTGCTGAGCTTGGCCTGGCGACTCAGTTATGTTTGCAGCCACAAAACCTTACAGCCGGGCCGGGGATTTACCTTAATGGTATAAGGCCCTGACCATCAAGCACAACGTTGTGAGTTCAATGCCTGGTACCAAAGATAAAAAAAAAAAAAACTCACAGCCTTGAGTTCCTTCCCCTGCAGCTCTGACCCTGCCTGCCACCCCTTGGGCCACATGCCATGACCCCTTGCCCACCAGCCCTTCCACCTACCACGGTCCCCAGTGCAGAGTGACGGTTAAGGTAGGGAGGGGGACAAATCGGAGTTCCAGCCCATCTCAGAGGAGCTCTGGAGAGCTCATAGGGCTTCTGCCTTCCTGTTTCTTCTGTAAAATGTTTCTCAAGAAAAGCAACCAAAGAGCTAGGGATGGTGGTGCCTCCCCGTGATCCCAGCTGCTCAGGAGGCTGAGGCAGGAGAATTGCAAGCTCAAGGCCAGTCTGAAACCTGCAAGCCCGGGATCTTAATCACCCCTCTACCCTCTAGGCTTGGGGTCAGGGACACGCAGCCCCAGGCCTCCTGTTCCTGCCGGCTGGTGGGTGAAAAGATGGAGGTAGGAGCCACTTGTGTGTGGTCACTGTCACCACACTCCAAGCAAGGGAACCTGCGTGCAGGCTGCGTCCCAACCCGGGACCCTCTCTGCTCCCCTCCCAGCCACACACAACGGCCGGGCTCCCTCCGGGCGGAGGAGCCGTCCCCACCAGGCGCCCCACATTGGCTTTCACACCGGGTCCCCAGGGCTGCGGGCACAAAGGGGGAGGCCGAGGCAGAGAAAGAGCCGCCGCCGGCGGTGGGGACTCTGCTCGGCTTTCTTCCTCCCTCCTCTTTGTTAAGCTCCCTTTCAGCTGCACCGCCAGAGCCTGGGTGTTCACTCCGATAATTGCTGCGTCTAGACAGTGTCTGGGACCTGGGCCCTCTCCTGCCTGGGCTGGCTGCCGGCCCCCAGCTCCCAGGCCCAGCCTCGGCCCTGCCCGCTGCCCTGCATTCCCACAGCCTGGCCCCGCCTGTCCTCGCCCCACTCTGTCCCCTGCACGGTGGCCAGAGATTCGGAGATTCGAGGACCGAGGGCCAGCTCTGCCCCTGGCTGGAGGCTTCTGGGGTCCTGTGTTTTGTTTATTCTTCTAGACAGGGTCTTGTGATGAGTTCCGCCAGCCTTGAACCTCTGTGTAGCCAGGCTGGCCTCCAGCTCAGGTGGATCCTTCTGTCTCGGCCTCCCGAGCACTGGGATGTCAGGTGTGCTTGAAACAACCTTCCAGCCCCTTAAGCCATACCATCGTGTCCCACGCCTGATGGGATCCCTGGATGTGAGCCAGGGAAGCCTCAGGAGACCTGTAAGGAAGAACTTCCGGGGTCTCTGACCGGTGCACACGGATGAGGTGGTTTCTAGAAATGCAGCAGGTAAAAAAGAAAAACTCAAATCAGCCCAAGATGGGGGCAGGAAGCCATCACCCTCCACCCCGACTCCCCAGCTCTGCCATGGGGGAGCCTGAGGCACAGCAAGGGCTGGGTTTGCCTGCCACCCTGTGCATCTTCATCCCCCTCCTCCTCCCAGGGCCCCACAGACACACAGAAGCAGGAATGAGCCTGTGGTTTCCCTGCATGGATCAGGACACAGAGGCCCAGAGGGGTTCAGTCGTCTGCCCCAAGTCACACAGCCAGGAATTGAGGAGCCGGGTTTTCGATAACACGGAGTACCTGGACGGAAGTGAGCCCTTGGTTCAGGGAAAACAAGAACCCAGGCTGCCGGGTGTGACTGCCAGGGACCTGCTTTGTGCCACAGAACAGAGGTGCAAGAAATGTCACTGCCGGTTTCTGGTTCTTCCCTCTGGGCTTCCCGAGCCTGGCCACTGGGGAGACAGACATAAAGGGGACAGGTGGACATGGATGGGGCAGATTCAAGAAATTCAAAAAATAAGGGGGTATAAGATGAAAATCGCCCATCTGGAGGAGAGATCGGAATGTGATGAGCCAGCAATCTAAGAAGGCTTCCTGGAGGAGGCTGCATTCCAGGTGATCACGAGCTGGGAGGTTGGAAGGCAGGCAGACAGTGTCAGGTACAGGGAACCTTGGCCTGGGAAGGCCCCGGGTTGTCTAGGAGAACCAGGTCCCTTGGTGGCTTTGCTGTAACTGGAGCCAGCTGGGCAGGAAGGGCCTTGAGTGCCAAGCCAAGAGCCTGGACTTACGCAGGGCTGCAGGAGGTGAGGCTGTGGAATGGGGCTCAAGGAGAGGCCTGGGGTCACAAATGGACAGCCACTTCCACTTCTCAGGCCCTTGTGATCCTGCGCCACACACCACCCCAGACCACCCTCTCCTTGCCCTCCCCCTCCCTCCCTCCTTGTTCAAACACCTTGGAAGTCCACTCTGCAATCTGCTGCTACCTCCCCCCCCCCCTTTTCCAGGACTGGGGATTGAACCCCAGCTCTGCATTGAGCTGTATCCCCAGCCCTCTTTAAATTTGTCATTTTGAGACAGGGTCATGTTAAATCACTAAGTTCCCCAGCATAGGCTTCAACTTGTGGTTCTTCTGCCTCAGTCTCCCAGAGTGCAGGAATCACAGGAAATTGCCCCCTCACCTGGCTCTCTGGACCCGCCTTAAAAGGACAAAGCCACCAGCTTGGGTCACAGTACAGCAGCCCAACTGGGAGCCAGCGAGGCTGCTCCTCTGCCCCTCTGTTCTCCTGGCCTGGCCTGATGGGTGATGTTGGACTGGGAATCAGGGATACTGGTACGATGACATCCACTGTGGTGGCTTTAGACCAAAAACACTGCCTGAGGGCTGATCTGATTGGGAGTTTACATCCTGGCAAAGGAAAGATGCAGGTGTGGGCTGGTGATAGGAGGCAGCCCCATGTCTTGCCCAAGGGCCTTTGCACTTGCTGCTCCTGCAGTTGGATATTCTTCCCAGATGTCTGCTGAGATGGCTCCCTCTCTCTCCCCAGCTCTTCTCAAATGTGACCTCTTCTTGGGCTGGGGATTTAGCTCGGCAGCATAAGCGCCTGCCTGGCAGGAGTGAGGTCGTGAATTCAATCCGGT